TTAGTGTCCTCTCTCGGTACGTCTCCCCCGGACGCTACACTGCCTCGCATTGGTCTGCAGCCAAGAGGGTCCTCCGCTATCTACAAGCCACCAAGTCTCACATCCTCACTCTTGTGGTACCTCTCCAGTCAAGCTCGAGGGATACACAAACTCCTCATGGGCCGATGACCAGACTGACAGACGCTCCTCCCAAGGTTACTGCTTCACCCTTGGTAGCGGAGTCATCAGCTGGCGCTCCACTCGGTCCTCTGCAGTCTCCCTGTCGTCCTGCGAGCCGAGCTCTACGCGGGCACAATGGCTGCTCAAGAGGCACGCTGGCTCTCCTTTCTCCTCGCTGAGTTAGGCTACCCCAAGCAGTCACCCACCCTGTGGTGTGACAACCAGAGTGCCATTCACCTTACCAAGGATCCTGTGTTCCACTCTCGCACCAAGCACATCGAACTTCGTCATTTCTTCATTCGAGATCTTGTTCAGAGTGACCAGCTGACGGTACGGTACATCGCCTCAGATTGCAACCTCGCCGACCTCTTTACCAAGGCTCTTGGCAAGGCTGACCACCATCGCCTTCTCCGTTCCATGGGGCTATGTGCTCCTTGACCGGGTTTGCAGTCTATGGGGGTGTGTTAGAAATAGACCGCACATACCACTTTTGTATTTGTACTTTTATATCCTAGTTTAGATTGTGAATGTTCTAGTGGGTTGGGGTGTACTCACAAATCCCACCTCACCCAATTGTGATCCCCCCAATCTCCAATTACCCAATTGGAGATTCCGGAGATCCCAATGAGGATTCCCTCCAATTCCCCCTTCATCCATTCACTCTCACCTTGCCATGTAGTTATAGAGCCTTGGGCTCCTTACCTAATCATATATTTCAACTCTATTTCTTACATCTGGTGCGACAACCCCAGCACTATCCATCTCACAAAGGACCCTGTCTTCCATGGCCTCTCCAAGCACATTGAACTCCGCTACTTCTTCGTTCGGGAGTTGGTCCAGCAAGGTCACTTGGTAGATCGTCGTCGCGCTCGACCTTTACGAGGCTGTCCCACGTCACCAGCAACTTACTGAACAGGTATATGATAGACGCTCCCGCCCCCACAGCAACGGCCTTTAGAATCTTGCTGATTGTCTGTAGGAAGTCATCGGGAGAAGAAAAGATAAAGCTTGAAAGACATTTCGATGTGACTCAAATACACAGAAGTGGTGCAGATACATATCGTTGGCGGAGAACCGCAGAAATGGGGGCTGCATGTTCAGAAACCAAAGACGCACCCCTTCGCTCTGGCACTTCATGATATTCAGCCGAGCCTTCATGTCCTCGACGACAGAGTCGTGGTGCCCTGATGCAGTCTGTCACGGCCAATGCTCCACCTCGACCTGCTTCTCTGTCAGCAACCTGGTCACAACCGCAAGCAAAGTGTCAATATGGGCCATGTTTCTGCAGGATATTAAAACCGAAAGAGGATAGTCACTCACTTTACAACACTCTTTGCGAATTCTGCATTGCTGAGCTGCGAGTGGTGTCCCTTGGGATCGTAGTGCACAATATGTTATGACCACAATAGGCTCAGATGTGCCTATAATGATAGATGGAGAGCACAGTCGGATTTTGATAACAATCTGCTCGCTGACTCAAACGGTAATCTGTAAGTTGGATCTCGAGCGCGTTGCTGTCGCCTATGTTGGTGCATATTCATTTGCACGTCATCCTGTCGTCTGTTCGCATCATTTCGTTTGCATGTGTTTTGTGTGCTACGTTGTTTGTATGGTTTGTTGGGTTTGCATGTCTTTGTATGTTCATCTTGTGCTTGTGCAGATGTGCTAGGATTGTGCATGACATCGAGCACATTCCAACGAGCCAAGAATTGTTGGAATCGGAGCACATATGAAGAAGTTACGAAGAAATGTTTGATGGATTTGTTACAACTCGTTGGAAGTCCTTGTCAGCTGCTACACCGAAGTTGGAGAGCCCTATAACGAGGAGGGACCAGCATGTGTGGGACTTTTGTCCCCACCTTGCAGCTGCAGCATTTGGGGTTTGGAGGCCAACCTGGCACAGTGTGAATTTTGTCTTGCCAGGCTGGCTGAACCTGAGGATGGGGAGTCAAACTTTGACTCTTGTCATGTTCTTGACCATGGGCCTCCAGGGTCCTTCCCTTTCATCCTTCCCTTCCTACCCCACCTTCCAACTGTGCTTCAATGCCTTTTCTATCATGCCTCTGATCTTGTAAGCTTCAATCATAGTGACTCTGAGGACTGTCAACTTCTCCTAGGGCAGATTACCCCCCAGTGCGCCAAACGCCATAGCTCACTCGTTAAGCTACGGAATCGAGTGATTCAACTTTCAATGGAAAGCTGACGCTGCCAGCTACAACATATCCGATTTTCATATCGTTTCACCGATTGGAGTTTTGGATATAGCTATTCGAAGGTCGCGAGTTTTCTGGGCGTCATAACGAAGTGCTGCAGAAATTTCCAAGGAGCCATTGAATCATCTGCTTATAGCCTTCTCTAACCAACAAGTGGTATCAGAGCCTATTATCATGCATTTGGGACCTAAAATACGATGGGAGATAAGGAGGACTCTGGTGGAGGTGATACTTCAGTCCAAGGAGGCAGCTCAACCCAAGATTCTGGCATTGCAGGGCAAAGGGTGTTGGTTAGAGAAGGCTATAAGCAGATGATTCAATGGCTCCTTGGAAATTTCTGCAGCACTTCGTTATGACGCCCAGAAAACTTGCGACCTTCGAAAAGCTATATCCAAAACTCCAATCGATGAAACGATATGAAAATCGGATATGTTGTAGCTTGCAGCGTCAGCTTTCCACTGAAAGTTGAATCACTCGATTCCGTAGCTTATCGAGTGAGCTATAGCGTTTGGCGCACTGGGGGGTAATCTGCCCTAGGAGAAGTTGACAGTCCTCAGAAGTGAAAAGGCATATGAAGCATAGTTGGAAGGTGGGGTGTGAACTGAGATAGATGAAGGCATTGAACAGCAGTTGGAAGTGGGGTGGGAAGGGAAGGATGAAAGGGAAGGACCCTGGAGGCCCCTTGGTCAAGAACATGACAAGAGTCAAAGTCTTGACTCCCCATCCTCAGGTTCAGCCAGCCTGGCAAGACAAAATTCACCACTGTGTCAGGTTGTCTCCAAACCCCAAGTGCTGCAGCTGCAAGTGGGGACAAAAGTCCCACACATGCTGGTCCCTCCTCGTTTTAGGGCTCTCCAACTTTGGTGTAGCAGCTGCCAAGGACTTCCAATGAGTTGTAACAAATCCATCAAACATTTCTTGGTAACTTCTTCATATGTGCTCCGATTTCCAACAATTCTTGGCTCGTTGGAATGCGCTCGATCTGATGTTACAATCAAGCACATCTGCACAAGCACAAGATGAATATGCAAAGACATGCAAACCCAACAAACCACACAAACAACGTAGCACACAAAACGCATGCAACGAAATGATGCGAACAGACGACAGGATGACGTGCAAACGAATATGCACCAACAAAGGGGAGCGCGTACAAGCCAGGGGTCACTGCTTAAGGAGGTGCTGAAGAACTTCACCATTGAGAAGTTCTCTGGAGATGGCTATGATGATTGGGGCATGGAAGATGCAGCTCTACTTTCGACAAATTGTCCTCTTGAAGCTCATGATTGGAACGGAGCCAAGGCCAAAGGAAATGGCAGAGCAAGCGGACTGGGATGAACGTTCATCTGCTGGGTATTATCTACTGTCACAAAGCTTGGAGCTGAACCAGAGGCATCACATCATGCATCTGCTACCGGAAATTGATTGTGGGCCCAAGGCATGGGCAGTGCTCAAGGACCTGCACGCTCCGACATCGGTTGCCGCTTCTCTCATGCTGGATCGGGAGCTGTCCATGCTGCGGTTGAGCGAGAATGAACCTGTGCAGCCCGTACTGGACAAGATGAGGGAACTCTACGCGAAATTGGCGATTGCAGGCATCACGTACCCAGAGCAGACAAAGTGTCTCAAGATGCTCAGCCTGCTGCCGGAGTCTTGGCTGCAATTTATAAGCGGACTCAGCTTGCCACAAAACCAAAGTCAATGGACATTGGAGTGGATTCGCACCAAGATTCTGGAAGAAGATTTTCGTCGCTATACACTGCGCGGAGGTGATGACAGCACCAGCGGCTATGCCATGCAAGGGACATGGAGGGATCGAGGGCGTGGCAATCGCGGTCGCTCTTACCACAGCCAAGGTGGTCGCGGGACTTGGAACCAGCGGGGGCGTGGTGGCGCTGGTGCAAGAGGAAGAGGTGGTCACTCCAACAATGACAACAGTGAACCACGCTTGAGGGGAGAGTGCTGGTATTGCAAGGAAGAAGGGCATCCATGGTTTCGCTGCCCTACCAAGCCCGACTGGTGGACCCCTTGGAACCAATCGCAGAAGGGGAATGGAGGAAAGCAACCACATGGAGGTGCCAACATGGTAGCTGATCCTGCTGAAGAAACCTCCAAGGATGACAGAGGAATGGGAAATGAGGAGAGGAATGCTGGACAGTTCTACCATGTGTGTGACAAAGATGACAGTGGCACAGCTGTTGCAAGGGCTGGAGAGGAATTGCACCCGCTTGACATGTGCCACTGCCATGCATCCGAACACTCTGAGCATGTCCACTGGAGGCTTCTTTCCAAGCCACCTCTCCAGCGGCACCCACATATCATCAGCTACCTTTGTGAGTACGCGGTTCCTTGCCACTGTAGCATGCCTCACCGCGTGAGGCCACATGGAGTTCCCCAGCCCTGATTCGATCAGCAGCGCTCGCGCAGTTTCCAGGATGGTCCTATTAGCCCTCTCAGCAACGCCATTTGACTGAGGGGTATAGGACGTCGTTAGCTGATGCTCAATGCCTTGTTTCTTGAGCCACGCAGTCAGATCTCCTCCTAGAAACTCTCCACCTCGGTCGGTTCTGATGCTCTTGCATGGGTGCCCAGATTGTCGCTCGACGAGTGGCAGCCAGTCATCTCGTATTATTGAGGCAGCATGATCCTTCTGCTTCAACGGGTATGCCCACATCAGCCGGCTCCAGTCATCAACTATTGTTAGGAAGTATCTTTCCCCCTTTCTTCCTTGAACTGGAAAAGGTCCTACCAGGTCCATGTGCACCAGTTCCAGTGCTGCCCAGCTACGCCGTGAAAGGGGAACCGTGTGAACTTGCTCAGCAGACACGTCTCGCACTTGGTATCATTTGGTTGCCCAGAAAGCTTCAGCCCCTTTACTGCTTCTTCCTTATGCAGTTGCTGCAGCAATGGCATAGCCACATGCCCTAGACGCCTGTGTGCGGTTTCCCAATCAGTCTCCCCCGACCTTGCAGAAACCATCACTCCTGCAGCACTAACTGCATTGCACTCCCCCTGGACTCCAGATCCCGCCTTTACTACTCCCAGCTCCTTCTTTGTTGATTCCCATATCAGCGCAGGGATCTGCCACATGGATCTGAAGACATCCCTGCTTTCGTGTAAATCCCATAACACACGATCTCCTCGCAGCCCCTTGAATGTTTTGGATCCATTGGTGGTGGTGCTGACTCCGGCCTGGCCTAGCTTGCGCAGCGATATCAGATTGGCCTTCAGCCCCGGTACGAGTAACACATCCTTCAGCACAACCAGTCCACCATCAGGTGCTCTGAATGCAGCTCGACCAACTCCAGCGACCTTCACTGCATGTCCGGATGCTGAGCGCACTTCAGAGATTGGAGGCGCTCGCACAGCATCCAGCAAATCCTTGCGTGGTGTCATTGTCCATGCAGCACCAGAGTCCATGACCCACATGTCAAGCGGGTGCAATTCCTCTCCAGCCCTTGCAACAGCTGTGCCACTGTCATCTTTGTCACACACATGGTAGAACTGTCCAGCATTCCTCTCCTCATTTCCCATTCCTCTGTCATCCTTGGAGGTTTCTTCAGCAGGATCAGCTACCATGTTGGCACCTCCACGTGGTTGCTTTCCTCCATTCCCCTTTTGCGATTGGTTCCAAGGGGTCCACCAGTCGGGCTTGGTAGAGCAGCGAAACCATGGATGCCCTTCTTCCTTGCAATACCAGCACTCTCCCCTCAAGCGTGGTTCACTGTTGTCATTGTTGGAGTGACCACCTCTTCCTCTTGCACCAGCGCCACCACGCCCCCGCTGGTTCCAAGTCCCGCGACCACCTTGGCTGTAGTAAGAGCGACCGCGATTGCCACGCCCTCGATCCCTCCATGTCCCTTGCATGGCATAGCCGCTGGTGCTGTCATCACCTCCGCGCAGTGTGTAGCGACGAAAATCTTCTTCCAGAATCTTGGTGCGAATCCACTCCAATGTCCATTGACTTTGGTTTTGTGGCAAGCTGAGTCCGCTTATAAATTGCAGCCAAGACTCCGGCAGCAGGCTGAGCATCTTGAGACACTTAGTCTGCTCAGGGTACGTGATGCCCGCAATCGCCAATTTCGCGTAGAGTTCCCTCATCTTGTCCAGAACGGGCTGCACAGGTTCATTCTCGCTCAACCGCAGCATGGACAGCTCCCGATCCAGCATGAGAGAAGCGGCAACCGATGTCGGAGCGTGCAGGTCCTTGAGCACTGCCCATGCCTTGGGCCCACAATCAGTTTCCGGTAGCAGATGCATGATGTGATGCCTCTGGTTCAGCTCCAAGCTTTGTGACAGTAGATAATACCCAGCAGATGAACGTTCATCCCAGTCCGCTTGCTCTGCCATTTCCTTTGGCCTGGGCTCCGTTCCAATCATGAGCTTCAAGAGGCCAATTTGTCGAAAGTAGAGCTGCATCTTCCATGCCCAATCATCATAGCCATCTCCAGAGAACTTCTCAATGGTGAAGCTCTTCAGCACCTCCTTAAGCAGTGACCCCTGGCTTGTACGCGCTCCCCGTTGCGCTGCAATGCCAGAATCTTGGGTTGAGCTGCCTCCTTGGACTGAAGTATCACCTCCACCAGAGTCCTCCTTATCTCCCATCGTAATTTAGGTCCCAAATGCGTGATAATGGGCTCTGATACCACTTGTTGGTTAGAGAAGGCTATAAGCAGATGATTCAATGGCTCCTTGGAAATTTCTGCAGCACTTCGTTATGACGCCCAGAAAACTTGCGACCTTCGAAAAGCTATATCCAAAACTCCAATCGATGAAACGATATGAAAATCGGATATGTTGTAGCTTGCAGCGTCAGCTTTCTACTGAAAGTTGAATCACTCGATTCCGTAGCTTATCGAGTGAGCTATAGCGTTTGGCGCACTGGGGGGTAATCTGCCCTAGGAGAAGTTGACAGTCCTCAGAGTCACTATGATTGAAGCTTACAAGTTCAGAGACATGATGGAAAAGGCATTGAAGCATAGTTGGAAGGTGGGGTGGGAAGGGAAGGATGAAAGGGAAGGACCCTGGAGGCCCTTGGTCAAGAACATGACAAGAGTCAAAGTCTTGACTCCCCATCCTCAGGTTCAGCCAGCCTGGCAAGACAAAATTCACACTGTGTCAGGTTGGTCTCCAAACCCCAAGTGCTGCAGCTGCAAGGTGGGGACAAAAGTCCCACACATGCTGGTCCCTCCTCGTTTTAGGGCTCTCCAACTTTGGTGTTGTTGGTGCATATTCGTTTGCACGTCATCCTGTCGTCTGTTCGCATCATTTCGTTGCATGTGTTTTGTGTGCTACGTTGTTTGTATGGTTTGTTGGGTTTGCATGTCTTTGCATGTTCATCTTGTGCTTGTGCAGATGTGCTTGGATTGTGCATGACATCGAGCACATTCCAACGAGCCAAGAATTGTTGGAATCGGAGCACATATGAAGAAGTTACGAAGAAATGTTTGATGGATTTGTTACAACTCATTGGAAGTCCTTGTCAGCTGCTACACCAAAGCTGGAGAGCCCTATAACGAGGAGGGACCAGCATGTGTGGGACTTTTGTCCCCACCTTGCAGCTGCAGCATTTGGGGTTTGGAGGCCAACCTGGCACAGTGTGAAATTTGTCTTGCCAGGCTGGCTGAACCTGAGGATGGGGAGTCAAAACTTTGACTCTTGTCATGTTCTTGACCATGGGCCTCCAGGGTCCTTCCCTTTCATCCTTCACTTCCTACCCCACCTTCCAACTATGCTTCAATGCCTTTTCCATCATGTCTCTGAACTTGTAAGCTTCAATCATAGTGACTCTGAGGACTGTCAACTTCTCCTAGGGCAGATTACCCCCCAGTGCGCCAAACGCCATAGCTCACTCGTTTAGCTACGGAATCGAGTGATTCAACTTTCAGTGGAAAGCTGACACTGCCAGCTACAACATATCCGATTTTCAGATCGTTTCACCGATTGGAGTTTTTGATATAGCTATTCGAAGGTCGCGAGTTTTCTGGGCGTCATAACGAAGTGCTGCAGAAATTTCCAAGGAGCCATTGAATCATCTGCTTATAGCCTTCTCTAACCAACAAGTGGTATCAGAGCCTATTATCACGCATTTGGGACCTAAAATACGATGGGAGATAAAGAGGACTCTGGTGGAGGTGATACTTCAGTCCAAGGAGGCAGCTCAACCCAAGATTCTGGCATTGCAGCGCAAAGGGGAGCGCGTACAAGCCAGGGGTCACTGCTTAAGGAGGTGCTGAAGAACTTCACCATTGAGAAGTTCTCTGGAGATGGCTATGATGATTGGGCATGGAAGATGCAGCTCTACTTTCGACAAATTGGCCTCTTGAAGCTCATGATTGGAACGGAGCCAAGGCCAAAGGAAATGGCAGAGCAAGCGGACTGGGATGAACGTTCATCTGCTGGGTACTATCTACTGTCACAAAGCTTGGAGCTGAACCAGAGGCATCACATCATGCATCTGCTACCGGAAATTGATTGTGGGCCCAAGGCATGGGCAGTGCTCAAGGACCTGCACGCTCCGACATCGGTTGCCGCTTCTCTCATGCTGGATCGGGAGCTGTCCATGCTGCGGTTGAGCGAGAATGAAGCTGTGCAGCCCGTACTGGACAAGATGAGGGAACTCTACGCGAAATTGGCGATTGCAGGCATCACGTACCCAGAGCAGACAAAGTGTCTCAAGATGCTCAGCCTGCTGCCGGAGTCTTGGCTGCAATTTATAAGCGGACTCAGCTTGCCACAAAACCAAAGTCAATGGACATTGGAGTGGATTCGCACCAAGATTCTGGAAGAAGATTTTCGTCGCTATACACTGCGCGGAGGTGATGACAGCACCAGCGGCTATGCCATGCAAGGGACATGGAGGGATCGAGGGCGTGGCAATCGCGGTCGCTCTTACCACAGCCAAGGTGGTCGCGGGACTTGGAACCAGCGGGGGCGTGGTGGCGCTGGTGCAAGAGGAAGAGGTGGTCACTCCAACAATGACAACAGTGAACCACGCTTGAGGGGAGAGTGCTGGTATTGCAAGGAAGAAGGGCATCCATGGTTTCGCTGCCCTACCAAGCCCGACTGGTGGACCCCTTGGAACCAATCGGAGAAGGGGAATGGAGGAAAACAACCACATGGAGGTGCCAACATGGTAGCTGATCCTGCTGAAGAAACCTCCAAGGATGACAGAGGAATGCGAAATGAGGAGAGGAATGCTGGACAGTTCTACCATGTGTGTGACAAAGATGACAGTGGCACAGCTGTTGCAAGGGCTGGAGAGGAATTGCACCCGCTTGACATGTGGGTCATGGACTCTGGTGCTGCATGGACAATGACACCACGCAAGGACTTGCTGGATGCTGTGCGAGCGCCTCCAATCTCTGAAGTGCGCTCAGCATCCGGACATGCAGTGAAGGTCGCTGGAGTTGGTCGAGCTGCATTCAGAGCACCTGATGGTGGACTGGTTGTGCTGAAGGATGTGTTACTCGTACCGGGGCTGAAGGCCAACCTGATATCGCTGCGCAAGCTAGGCCAGGCCGGAGTCAGCACCACCACCAATGGATCCAAAACATTCAAGGGGCTGCGAGGAGATCGTGTGTTATGGGATTTACACGAAAGCAGAGATGTCTTCAGATCCATGTGGCAGATCCCTGCACTGATATGGGAATCAACAAAGAAGGAGTTGGGAGAAGTAAAGGCGGGTTCTGGAGTCCAGGGGGAGTGTAATGCAGTTAGTGCTGCAGGAGTGACGGTTTCTGCAAGGTCGGGGGAGACTGATTGGGAAACCGCACACAGGCGTCTAGGGCATGTGGCTATGCCATTGCTGCAGCAACTGCATAAGGAAGAAGCAGTAAAGGGGCTCAAGCTTTCTGGGCAACCAAATGCTACCAAGTGCGAGACGTGTCTGCTGAGCAAGTTCACACGGTTCCCCTTTCACGGCGTAGCTGGGAAAAGCAAGGCAGCACTGGAACTGGTGCACATGGACCTCGTAGGACCTTTTCCAGTCCGAGGAAGTAAGGGGGAAAGGTACTTCCTGACAATAGTTGATGACTGGAGTCGGCTGATGTGGGCATACCCGTTGAAGCAGAAGGATCATGCTGCCTCAACAATACGAGATGATTGGCTGCCGTTCGTCGAGCGACAATCTGGGCACCCATGCAAGAGCATCAGAACCGACCGAGGTGGAGAGTTTCTAGGAGGAGATCTGACTGCGTGGCTCAAGAAACAAGGCATTGAGCATCAGCTAACGACGTCCTATACCCCTCAGTCAAATGGCGTTGCTGAGAGGGCTAATAGGACCATCCTGGAAACTGCGCGAGCGCTGCTGATCGAATCAGGGCTGGGGAACTCCATGTGGCCTCATGCGGTGAGGCATGCTACAGTGGCAAGGAACCGCGTACTCACAAAGGTGGCTGATGATATGTGGGTGCCGCTGGAGAGGTGGCTTGGAAAGAAGCCTCCAGTGGACATGCTTCGAGTGTTCGGATGCATGGCAGTGGCGCATGTCCCTAAACCGTACAGGACAAAGCTTGGAGCATCTGCACTTTGGTGTGTGCACCTTGGGCTTGCGGCAGAGAGCAAGGGGTGGCTACTCTGGGAGCCCTCAAAGAATGTGCTGTTTGATAGTCGGGATGTCAAATTTGTGGAGAACATCATGTATGGCAAGTGGGAGAAGCAGCCGGAGGCAAGGGTCACCCAGCAGCTGGAAGAGATCACTATGCACTTCGATCTGTCCGAACCTGAGGACAGCGAAGTCACTGCGCCAACGGCAAGCGGTACTGATGAAGGAAGCAATGAGGATATTGCAGCTGATGCTGAAGTCAAGGATCCGGAGCAGCAGCAGCAAGAGGCTTCCAAAACACCAAGTCTGTCAAAGCGAAGGAAACAGATTGGTGGGGGGACAAAGGATTGGGTGAAGGTGAAAGAATGGGTAAATCCAACCATCTACCCTGCACGTACCAGAATGGCAATGAGAAAGCTGTTGAGCTCCACAAGTGGAGGAGCCACAACTGAGCAGCAGGAACAGGCTCAAGGCGAAGATGCAGTGCTGTTCTTGGGTGATGACCAAGAGTCAGATGACAAGGAGCCTGCATACTGCTTTTACGCACCAATACAACCTCCGAGCATGGATCATGCGCTAGCCGGGCCTCAACGGGGGAAGTGGCTCGTTTCAAGAGATGCAGAGTACAACAGCAAGATGGAGAATCACACATGGGACCTGGTGTACTTGCCAAATGGGAAGAAGGCAATACAGTGCAAGTGGCTGGCAAAAATCAAGACGGATGAGAAAGGAGAGCCATCAGTTTACAAGAGCAGGCTGGTGGCAAAGGGGTTTCAGCAGAAAGCGAAGGAAGATTACAAAGAAGTGTTTGCCCCAACTGCTAAGTCTCCAACGCTACGTGTGCTGCTGGCGGTAGCTGCTGTGCGCAAATGGAAGGTGAAGCAGATGGACATCGTAACCGCTTTTCTGTATGGCATTGTGGAAGAGGAGGTATACATGGTTCAACCACCTGGCTATGAGGATGGAACCGGTCGTGTCTGCAAACTTAACAAGGCCATCTATGGCTTGAAGCAGGCCCCGAGATGCTGGTACAACAGGCTGGCCAGTGCACTGGAAGGGATTGGATTCCGTGCGAGTGCATGCGACGAGAGCCTATTCCTGATGAGCGAGGGGGAGTCGCTT